ATGTTCTCTTTGCCATGTGATGCTGTTGCTGTGCTGGAGCCCTGTGTGATTGAATCCCTTTGTTAGCATGTTTAGGTGATAAGTTAGAGCAGCCCATGGGAGGCCAGGAGCTCTCAGGCAGTAGGAAAAGCCTCAGGTTTCCAGCTAGGATGTCAGCAGAGCCCAGGCAGGAAAGGCTTCCCCGTGTTCTCCGTGACCAAGCCCAGATTTCCCTAATGCAGAGCAGGCAGAGACAGATCTGGCACAGGTATGAGGAAGGGGAAAGGTGAGGAACCTGCCAAGGACTGATGAGAGAAAATGGGAACGTTGATTTTTGCATGAAACTTCAGTGGTGTGTTTGATTTTGCTTCAGTGGCTCTAAAGTCCATCAGCAGTGGTGACAGAGCAGAAAAATCAAATCGTGAAAAATAAAAATAAACTCCCCACCAGGGGTGGCTGCTGAAGGGGCAGGATCTTTCTGAAAGCTCTAAAGTCAGGATTTGCTTTTGTGGGGTTTTTATGATCAAACTCCCTTGGTGTTGCTGGAAGTTCCTGACCCACAGCAAGTGATCCCAGAAGCTCTGGGGGAAGGGCAAGACTGGAGCAGGAGAACTGGAGATCCAAGTGTCAGCACTGAGAACCCCCAGGCTGAAAATTGTACTGCTGAGCCAAAGAGAGTGGAAAATTGCAAAAGGAAAAGCTTGGTCTGTAGAGTTGCCAAAAAAAAATTTCCACTCTGGTGATAAATAAGACAAAGTTGATATGCCCAGAATACAAGAAAAGTCAAATAATGACAAAATATATTGGTCTGCTGGGGAGTTACACTGCTCTCTTACTTTATATTATTAAACAAACAAGTAATCCATTTGAAGGTGTTGTTTTTGACCTCTGAAATAAAGGTTTTGTGTTGTTCCTCGGGCCCTGAGGGTTTGTGTTTGGTTGCAGGTTGTGGCACACAGCCTGCCTGGGGCAGGAGGGAGAAGTGATGGTGTTTGGGGGCAGCAAGGATGATCTGCTCTTCATGGACACGGTCAGTAAACTCAGCAGCAAATCCTCACTGGGACAATTACAATTAATTACAATTAATTACAATTAATTACAATTAATAGCAAATTATGGAGTGGTTTCAGTTGGTTGGGGCTTTAAAGGCCGTTTAATCCACGCCAGCCTGGGCAGGGACAGCTCCCAATATCCCAATATCCCAATATCCCAATATCTCAATAAATATCCCAATATCCCAATAAATATCCCAATATCCCAATAGCATCATCCAGCCTGGCCTTGGCACTGCCACAGGTGGGGAGTCCAAAACCTCTGGGCAAATAAAGAAATACATATTATATATTAATAAATACATATTATATATTAATAAATAATACATATTATATATGTATTATTATTAATATATATGTATATGTATTATTATTATTATTATTATTATTA